CCCCAAAACCCCAAAACCCCAAAACCCCAAAACCCCTAAAATCATTATCAGTATTGAACGTTCTTATTCTTGATACTGTTCCAGCAGGGATTTAATTGACTCATCCTCAATCTCAGGAACTTCAAGGAATATTTTTAAGTAATGATTTCCTTTCATAGGCCCAAGTTTATAAGGGTTCTGAATTCCAAGATTCTCGAGGCTAAGTACATCACCTTGATTTGTACCTCTTGGGATTTGAACTCTGAACTTTCCTCGAAGTACTTCTACGTCTATTCTGTCTCCAAGTGCTGCCTGGAATATGTTGACTTTTAAGTCAGAGTGGATATCGACTCCGTCCCTTGTAAAAACTGGGTGATCCTCTACCTCTAGTGTGATCCAGAGTTCACCAGATCCTTTCATCATGATGTAATGGCCCAAATTCTTGATCTTTATCACAGTATTGGATTCCACTCCTGCACATCATTAAGAAATATACCTGGAGGAATTGTAATCTCTTCTTGGGTTTTACTAGAGGTATGTCCTGTTCCCTTACAAGGTTTGCAGAGTTTATTAATAGTATATCCTTCTCCTTCACAATGGTCTCATTCAAATTCAAATCTGTAGCTATCTCCAAGTCCTTCCTACAGGGTTAAGGATGAGGTTACCTCTTCACCAAGGATGATTGTCTTCATGCCTTCGCCATGACACTCATTGCATTTGACGTATTTCCCTCCTCTTGCAATTTTGGTGCCTTTACAGGTCCTTCATCTCTGCTTTCTATTGGGGTAATCATGGTTAATACCTATCAAAAGTGATGACTTTCTTGCATCCAAACACTGCTTCTTCGAAGGTTAGTTTCTGAGTGACACTAATCGTGCTATATTCTGAGGTAGAAGGGCTTACTTGTTCTCTTCTTCCTCTCGCTTGGCCTTCTTAGCGTCAAATTCTGCCTTTGCTGTCTCATAGTATCCTCTATAAAGTTTTCCAAAAGGAAGCTTACCTCTTTTTGTAGAACTTTTCTTTAGCATTCTTTAAATTTTTGATCCTCTCAGAATACTCCTTCTCTAAAATTGATTATAAAGACTTACTGCGTTCCTCGATGAGGGTCTCATAGGCTGTTTTGATCCTTCCAAATATTTCTTGAGCTTCTTCTGTCTTGTTCACATCAGGATGGTATCTCTTTGCAAGTTTGAAATAACTCTTCTGAATTTCTTGCTTGTCAGAGTCAACTGATACATTTAGGATTTTATAACAGTCTTCTAAACCCATGTTGAATGAGAAGAATCTCTGAGATCTGGCAAATATTTGCTTTTTTGACGCTAATTTTTGTCTGTAAGCTCCTGATTTAGACACATTTTTGAGAAATACATTGGAAATAGCAAACATTTTGTTTTAAAATTATTAGAGCCATTCTTTCAATATTAAACCCACTGAAAGGGGTTTTGGGGTTTTGGGGTTTTGGGGTTTTGGGG